CTCTGCAGATTCTTACTTTTTTTAAAGGTCAGCTATAAATTGAAACTTTTGTTATGGTTTATCTCGTGTTACTGTGTTCATAGTTGGCGAGTGTTATTCATGTCATCTTCGTGCGCTATCTTGCCAGGAAAAAAAAAAATTCTTGATACGTATGACTTGGCACCTTATTTATAATTAAGCATTTTCCCTTATCACTTCCATCCTCATAAATCTGCACCTCTGGAAGTTCCAAGGAAATTAAGCTCCCCTCAGCACCATCTAGATTAAGAGCACACAGGAGGCCAGGTCTCGGTAGCATGTTGGATTATTTTCCAGATACACCACCCATGTAGTTTAAAGACATCATTCCCTTAGGGTCTACAGCTCCTTAGCGCTGAGATTTTCAGCTTTTACAAATTTTAGTGGCAGAACTTTTTCTTCAAGTATTACTTGGAACCCCAAGATCTAAAATAAATAAGAAGGGAGCTGCTCTGGTCAAAGTGGGGTTAAGAGTTCCTGATCTTCACCAATGTACCCTCCCTCTTGCTCCCCTGGGTGCTCCCCAAGGTGCTCCCTGGAGCATCTTCACAGACTCCTTGGGCTCCAAGGACCACAGTGGGAAAACGAACTGAATAGATCACTGGTTCTCAAAGCATGATCCCAGAACCAGAGGCATCCCCGGAGAATGTGTTAGAAATACAAATTCTCGGGCCCCCCTCCCAGATCCACGGAAATCAGAAATTCTGAGGGCAGAACCCAGCAATTTGTGTATTAACAAGCCCTCCCAGTGACTCTGCTGCCCATGTAAGTTTGAGGATTTACCAGAATAGAGTATCCCATTCAGGAGCTATTGGAATGGGGCTGGGGTCCAAGATTATTAAACAGAACAGGGCCCAAGATCAACATTTCTGGGGTACTTAAATTATCCCAAAATTCTCCGGAAGGCTGTTTTCTGTCCACCATCTTCTTAGACCTGAGATTAGACACACTCTCGAGGTCCAACTTTGCAATAGCCTGGGTCCCTTTGAATGGATTCAATATGTCAGAAATCACTAGGAGGAGTATGGATTCTTACTTTTGGCTCATTAGACAGAAATAGTGACACTCCTCAGAATTTTTCTTGACAGAGGGACTTCAGATCTGAAGCTCCTAAAATGCTGAGCAAAAGAAGCCAGACACAAAAGTATACATACTGAACAATTCCATTTATAGAAAGCATAAAAAAAGGCAGTCTACAGTGGAAGAAGTCAGGATAGGGATTCCTCTTTGGGGTTATTGACTGGAAGGAAGCAGAAGTGGGGCCTGACTTACGGGCAATGTCCTGTTTCTTGACCTGGATGTTGTTTGCAGGGATCTGTTCACTTCCTAGAAGTGCATCGAGTTGCACCCTTATGATATGTGCGTTTTCCTATATAATTGAGAGACGTTAATACACGAGTTTAAAAATGGTATCGGATCACCTGCAGGGAAAGGTCAGCGTGTGATGACATTCGGCTGTGGGCGCTGAGCTTCATAGTCTCAGAGGCCCTGGGCCTTCCCTTCTGGGTGTGAATATACATTTGGCACGAACACAGGTTCCTGGCATCAGCTCTACTGCATTATGACAACATGAGTTGTATGGGGGGTCACTCTGTTTTCTTGATTGGAAAAGACCTCTTGGTTGATGGCATCCCTGATCAGGATTCCCTGGGGATGGGGAAGAAGTGAGGCAGTTACGTATGTGAACTGTGGGCCAGAGTGAGCTTCAGCATTTGGCTACTCCAGGAAATGGGAAGTTGGTGGGGACCTGAATGTTGAACCAGGTTAGGCCAAAAACCCACGGGAAGCATGTATAACGGGTAAAAAGGAAGCACCGCATTGTTTGGTCTCTCATTCTGAGCTCTCTGGATGGGTAAGACCCCCGTGGTGAGCACTCAACTGTTGCCTGGGCCCTTCAGGGCCCAGATCATAAATCTACATGTGAACTGAGTTCCCCTGGCCTTCCCAGCTTGTAGAAGTAGATGGAGTCTGAGTTAAAAATTAGCTTAAGTTTCACCAGCTCTTGCCCACACAGGAATTCCAGCCATCACGTAAAATAGCCCAGTTGTGTCTGAAAGTCACCCGTGGGTCACAAACCCATCTGTCGTTGACCTCTCCCATTTTTTTCCTTACTTATTCTGGGCCCCATCTTCGTGTCCACGCGCCCCGCCCCCCCCCCCCCCACCCCGCCAAAGCTGTTTAAGAAGAACTCACCCCTTCCCAGCTCCCTCCCCAGTGCTGCTGTACCCACCACGGAATGTTGATAAAGGTGGTCCCCCTCCCCCAAAAGGCCCCACCATGGCAGTGCCTGCCCAAGGTGGAAGACATGCCTGAATCATTCCATGGCTCAATTTGGGGGTTGGTGACAGGTAGAGGCATAGGGCTGGGCTTGAATGGCTCCCCTGTAGCTGAGGGGCAATGGTGTTTTCCAGAGGACGTCAGGAAGGGCCAGGCGCAGCGGCTCCCTCTGGTGGTCTCTGCATTCCACCAGCGGAGACAGGGAGGTGGGCTTCAGCAGTCTCGGGCCAGTCACAGCTCTTAGCACTACTCCTGAGTGCAGGGTATTTAAAAGACAGTTTCTGCGTCAGACAAACCCGAAATGAGGAACAGTCTTTTGAAAATGCTAATGCCACACAAGACAAAGTAAGTTTGTGGAAGTGTTCCAGATTAAAGGAGGCTAAAGAGACATGACAACTAAAAGCAAGACCTCACCCTAGACCAGATCCTACGATGGAGAGGGAAACGCTGTAAAGGATGTCGTTGGGCAAACAGACAAAACTGAAGTACAGATGGGAGATCAGATAAAAGTATTGAGTCAATGTTAAATCTACTGACGCTCTTAACTATATACTGTGATGGAGAGAACATGCCCATTCGTAGGCAATGCGTGCTGAGGTACATTAGCCATGAAGGGCCATGATGCATGTAATTTACCATCACATGGTCCAGATACACACACACACACACACACACACGCTTACTTACGAGAGTGTGCATACATGTAAGCAAGAGCACAAATGGGGTAAAGTGTTAGCAATAGGTGAAGCTGGTAAAGGGTATACAGACGTTCTCTATACTATTTTTATTTTTGCCACTTTCCCCTGGGTTTAAAATATTTCCGAATAAAAAAGCTGAAAAATGCAAGAGAGTTTCTGCAAGCAGTCAGAGTCTGGTGGCACATGGCTGAACTATTCCAGTGGCAGAGATGAGGAACAAGGACGTGGCTGTCTTCCCGGCAGGGCTACCAGACACATCCCAAGAAGTAGCCAGGTACCCTGCATTAAGTTGCCAAGGGACACCCGAGGCCTCTCATCGTTTGATCTCCCCCATCCTACAAGATACCAAAAATAACACTTTTGACACGTTCTCCTAAGGATCATGGGCGCCACCCCCACCCCCGGGTGTTGGCAAAAATTCGGTCATGAAAGGAGGGTGTATTGCTTCATTGATTCATCCAGTTAGTGTTTTGACGATCTACTTACCCTGTGCCGGGAACTGTGCTAAGGGCCGAGTATGCAGCCTGGGGTACGGGAGGAGACACAATGCCTGTCCTACAGAAAAATCTATGAGCCAGTTGGGGATGCACCCACAACCGCATAAATAAATGTGTATTTCCAAATGAGTGGACCAGAAAATAGACTTGGGAAGCCCTGGGTTGGGGGGGGGGGAGGGAGGCAGCCTTTTCCCAGAGCCAGTGGATCCAAGCCCCATGGGTCTGATACACAGTTTCCCTCCCCCCAAGATTTTCTAGGTTAGAGGTCCCTTTGTACCTGATGCTGAAGAGAAAAGAAAGAACCACCAGTGTTCACCCCCTCCTGGGCACATCCCATCTGTCCCATCTGTTCTGGCTTAGCTCTCCGCGGGCCGCTCTGCCCTCGGAGAGAATCAGGGAAGAGGCCAATGTGCCACTCCATCGATATCCCTGGGCTGGCGGACCAGCGAGCTTTGGAAAACAGTCCTTGTACTGATCTACGCCTGCAGGTGAATCTTACAGCAACACACATAATGCTCGCGGAAGGCAAAGACCAGCAGACCCCCGCATGTGGAAGCCTGGCAGCCTATGGGCCCTGAAAGTCCTGTCACTAGGGTGCTGAGTCATGAAAACAACACGATGGTCTTCCAAATGGACAGAATGACTTTGGGAGACAGTTGTGGCGCTCCCCCCGACGACCCCCGGTGTGGCACTGATTGTGACGCCCTTACACGGGGACAAAAATGGAGTCCGTTGCCTTGGGGCTCCAGGTCGGGTGTTGGGGAGGGAGTTGTACGAGTGTGTGTATGTGTGTGTGACTGCATGTGACACGATGCGTGTCCATTCTGTCCACGGGTCTCAGGGAGGACTGACCCTCACCTCTGAGGCATTCTGGTCCTGGTCCAAAGAAGTTTCAGATCCAACAAACGTTTACTGAGTCCCTACAAAGTTCCAAGCCTTTTACTTTATACTTTGACACATTTTATATCATTTAATCTTTAACAATAACCCTTTAAGGTAGGAATTATCTGCATTGTACGGATGAGAAAACAATCGCAAAGAGGTTCATTGATTTGCTCAAGTATATCATACAGCTTTTTTTTTTTAAACACTCATACACTATACTCTTAGCTGAGGCCTGTCTGTGTTGGTCGCTTATCTTACAGTATGTTTTGTTTTGTTTTGTTTTCTCTACTTTTGGAGCAATTGCTCCCCTTGTACAAGCCCCCTTCTTCCTTCCACTAGCCCCGTGGGCTTTTCTTTTTTTTTTTTAATACTGCATTTAATAGCACAAAAAATCACGAATACAAAGAAACTGGCAAAGGCGTTTGTCAATGAGATATCCTTGCCTCCTCCACTTTTCCGCTTTCATACCCATATAGGTCATGGGCTACATTTGTGTAGACTTTTCTTGCCCCGCCCCCCCAAACATATAACTGTTATGTGATTGGTCAGTTGAAGCTGAAACACCCATGGAGAAAGATGTTTTACGGTTACAAGGGCACACCCCCCCACGCACCACCCCCCTCCCACCCCACACTTTCCCACACAATCTTTTGGAGGAATATAGGATATGTACCAGTGTCAAGATTCCCCTGCTCCCGCCGTCCCCGCCTAGAGCATTCCTGCCATTGAATTTTCCTTCAAGTGACTGCTTAGACTAGAGCCTCTTCTCCCGCCCCGTCTATTTCTCTTCCAACCAGGACCTCTTAGACACTGGGTACTGTACTGTTCAATTCTTACTCTGTCAGGCCCGTGGGCCACACGAGTAGGTCCTTTAAATCTCGATGCCAGTTGTCGTATGGGTGCCGCCATCTTCCATTACAGGTAGGTCTGTGTGTCGCTTCAGTAGGCTTGTGTATTCATTTCTTTCACTTTTTCTGACTCATGTTCCAGGACCTGTTTGTGATAGAACAGTAAATACCCTTCGCTGTCCAGCACGTCCTTAATACTGGCCTTGGTGATGACGGCGTCATCACACTTGAACCACTGGTCCTTGTGGTGCCGGATGAAGCTGGTGTAGTGGCCGCTCTCCAAGGTTCCTTGGTGATTAACCACAGCAAACAAGGAATACTTATTCTCATCGTTTCCACTATTGGTTGGCAGCTGCAACTGTCCATTCATCCTGCTCTCTTTACTCGAGGCCATAAATGGTGTCATATCCAGCTCCAGAGGAAAGGATATGTATGTAGTGATCTTGCGCCTCTGTTTGGCCGAGTGTTCGAACCGCTTGAAATGAAAACAGGCCACAACAGGCAATTTATTCATTGTGAGCTGTTTGGTAGATTCCTGGTAGCTTTGGCAACTACCGCATTTGATTTTGGCACTGCTTCCCAAGTGCTCTGGCCGCGTAAACCTTCGCAAGCAGTCCGTGAGGGTGGGGATTCCTGGTATGTGGCTTTCCCCATTCACACTGCTCTCCCTCCCTGGGCTCATGGGCCAGAAGGAGGTGCAAGAGCCAGGCAAGTCCAAACTGATGTCCCAGCATGGGTCTATGGTGGTGGAGACGCCATGGCAGGCTTGACAGGTGACATCAGACTGCAGGCCACCTGTGAAGATTTGGTCTATGATGCAGTTACAGTGGTTGGGGTTGTTGGCGGCCTTCCCAGCATCATCACCTTTGCAGTGCCTGTGCAGGACATCTAACGCCGCAATGAGGAACTCGTGGGCATCCTGTTGCCTGTATCCTGCTAAGTGACGGGCGTGTATCCATACCAGGTGCAGCAACTTATAAGGAACGTGAGGAGATGGGTTTCCAGAGTACAGCTCCCGAAAAAGCGAAGACATCTCACAGACCAGACACAACTCAGGACTTGGCATTTCACATCTGTGCCTGTCGGAGAGGAAGAAATCTCTCAGGATCGGAGTATGCGTAAGGGCCTGGACGATGCAGTTCATAAAGCACGTGTTGCCAAGATTGATCAGTCCTCTTAAGCCGATGGTAAAGCTCGACGTGATTCTTCTTCTCCTTGGGTTGTGTCCCAGCAGTTCTAACTCGGGTTTGGTCGTCTCCCAGGTTGGGTATTTCTCACCGAGCCCCGGCACTGAACACTGCTGGTGAGGAACCTCGGTTGAGGTGGAGGCTTGTAATTTCAAAGCTTCTCCTTGCTCTTCTTTGGCAATTTGCTCAATGTCTTTGTCATATACATAGTCCTTACACATAAAGCAGTATATACCTCCATAGTAAAGGTCTACGGCTAAGTTGTGTTGTTTTGTCTCGGCGTGCTCGTGAATGTGTTTCTCTGTGAAGCAGCCAAAGAAGACACAGGAAAGGCAAGAGTGAAGTCTGTTCAAATGGGTGCCACACACATGGCAGATGCACGACTTTGCCTTGCTTTTCCTGGTCTCCGGGGTTCCACACCACACGAAGCACTGGTAGATCACCCGCAGTTCCTGCCTCCAGTTCTCTCCCACCTTAAAGCTGTTCACGTGGGAACAGCCCGGTGGACCCACAGCGAAATCCACATCCAGGCATCCGCCCCCAGGGCCGCGCCGGGGCCGGGGCCGGGGCGGGGGCCGTGGCCTAGGCTGCGGCGGGGTACGGAGCCGGGTCTGTGGCCGCGGCCGGGGTCGGCGGCGGGGGGCACGACTGCGCCGCGGAGAGGGATCGGGGGGCCGCGGGGGGTCGGAGGGGAGGGTGGGGGGAGGAACCTCGTCGCCGCTGCCGCCACCGCCGCTCCGCGCTGGGTGCTCATCCTCCAGCTCCTGCTTCGGCTCCCCCTGCGGCTCCTGCTCCGCCTCCGGCACCGGCTCGGGTTCGGGCTCGGGCTCCAGCTTGAGCTCAAGCCGGCGGCCCGGACCCTCCGCTGTCTCCACCTTCCCGGCGGCGTCCACCTTCCCCGCCGCCTCCACCTTCCCCGCCGCCTCCACCTTCCCCTCCACCTTCGCCTCCGCCTCCACCTTCCTCTCCGCCTTCTCCGCCGTCTCCGCCGTCTCCGCCTCCTCTACCTCCTCCGCCTCCACTGGCGGCGGCTCCTCCCCCTGCTCGCAGGGCTCGGGCGGCCACTGGGCGTGGCGGCGCGGGGGCCACGCAGACCTGGGCTGTCCCCCGCCCGGCCTGAGGGAGCGCGGCGGCTGTGACAGCTGGACCCAAAAGGGACTTTCACTGAAGGAGGCGGCGGCGGAAGCAGGCGACGCCCCCCGGGAATCCTCCCGCCGTAGCCCCCTAGCGGAGGCCGCTTCGGCAGCCAGGCCCCGTTTCCTTTAATTCAGTATTTCCCAAACTTGCTTGTTCACGAGAATCACGTGGGGAGCGTGTTAAAATTACAGATTCCTCGGCTCCGCCCGCAGACCTACTGAATCAGAATCGCGAAGGGAGGTGCTCCGGAACCTGTATCTTTAACTAGGGCCCGGGAGGATTCTTATGATCAGGCAAGTTTGGGAAACACAGCTCTAATTCATTGAGGCTGGCGGGAAGGGGGGCGGGGACCGCGCAGTCTCTTTAAGGCGCTTCCAGTTCTCGGCTCCAATCGCAGCTCTGACCCCCTTCATCGTCTCCTCCCCTCTCCTCGTCCTTCCCTTCGTCCATGCAGCCTCCCCCAGCACTGCGGGGCCAGGGACGGAGGAATCGCCACGTCCAGAAACGTCTCTGGGGCTGGGAAACGTCCCCTCAGAGGCCAGGTCCTGAGGAGCAGTCAGAAACCGTGATAGGCCGTCCTCCCCACAGCGGAGCCTGCCCCCCGCCCTGGCCCCCCTCCCACTCCACGTTCTGCCCTTCCCGAGAAGGATGAAGCCCCAGGGCCACTCTGGGCACAGGCCTGGACCCCGGGTCCCGAGGCGCAGAGCCGCCAAGGCTGCGGGGACTGAGCGGGCACGTCCCTCTGCCCGTCTTATCGGTGCCCTGCAGAATCTGTGCCTGCCCCTCACCTCCTCCTCGGGCTCCCAAGGCCGCGGGTGGGATGACCATCTGGCAGTCGGCCTCCTGGCCCAGCAAACGCTGAGCCGCCCGGGGGCAGCGGGAGGGGACAAGGCACACCAAGGCCATGCCTACTTGCTGGCACCTCCCCGACGGCTGAGAAAGGGGAAGACACCGCCCCAAGACCCTCAAGTCTGGCGGAGCCCGGGGTCGGGTCGGCAGCAGGTGGGAGTTGGGGGGTGGGGCGGGGCGGGGAGCAGCTTCTGTAGTGGAGCTGCCGGCGGGCGGGGGCGGGGGGGGGACGGGCCTGGGTCTGAGAGCCTCGCAGAGCTCCTGCACTGAGAGCCGCGGGCACTTGGGGAAAGGGGCCGCAGGTGCAGGTCCCAGGGAGTCAGGACGGCGCTCCGAAGAAGTACATAGCCAGCGTCCAAAGATCAAGCAGAGGGTGTTCTAGGAAGAGTCCGTTCCCTGAGCCCTGGGACGGCTGGCCTTGGCCCGGAATACGCTGCCTGGCCCGTGGGGCCGTGCTGCCTGAGTATACCCTAGCGGAGTTCTGCTTGCTTAGCGCTGGACCTCGGCCCTCAGCCTGGCCCCTTCCTGCAGGGAGGAGGTGGTGCCTGGGCCTCCCGGCGTTAGCAGCAGGACTTGGTTGTCAAGAATTAGGAGCCTTTAAGAAGAATGCGATGCTCGGTTCCCATACAGCTGAGGTCCCCAGGCGCTGCCCTGGTGCCCTGCCTTCCTAAGCCAACTCATTGCTTCAATTCCTGGAAGCACCCCAGCATCTTTCCAATAAATGCCTGCCCTCTGTGGCCTACAACCAGAGGAACTGCAACTAGCACACCCACCGAAGGAATCCTGCTCCTGTGCTGCTAGAAATGACTGAGGTCATGGAGTGGAGGGAGGCTGGGGAGGGTACTCTCATCCCACCTCCGCAAAGTGACGGCCGTCAGAAAGACCTAAAGATCTCTGTGTGCGTAAGACTGTCTACCCTCTACCCCTGAAGCCTAACCATGGCAACCTGACTACCTTACCGATCAGCCTCCAGCAGAAGCCCACATGTCCGGCAGGTTCTGGCAGTTAGGAGGCTCAGCCATCATTCACCCAGCAAAGGTGTATTCAGCTCCAACCCAGAGCCGGGTGTTGTACTAGGAGCCGTGGACAGTGTGGAACCAAACAAGCTGGCCCCAGGGCCACAATCAGGGCTGGGTTCCCCAAAAGGCAGACTAAGGAAGTGTCTGGGTCACCAGCTGAGAAGAGGCACCAAAAACAAAAGAATCGAAAAAAAAATGTATCGGAAACAGTTTGACATTTGATTTTTTTTTTTTAGTCCTCATGAGAAAAGTCAGAATTTTGTTGTACTTCCTTACGTTGCTTTCCTGATTGCATGTTGCTTTTGCTGTGAATCACGTGCAGGAGGGTGGGGGGCAGGGCGTCAGCCTGCTTGCGTGTGTCTCCATTCAGTCCTGGGCAAATGTCACCATGTCTGCCTCACAAAGACCTGACTGAAGGCTAGCGGAAGGGGCCCACTTAAGGAGAGACCCCTCCTCAGTATAGTCGGGCCACGTGGGGTTGAGCACAGTTCTGACCACAAGGTGGCAAAAGAGTATATGACACTTCCCCGGACATTTGTATGTTTCTATAGAACTATTGGTTTATATCCCAATACACTCTAAAAATATTTTTTAACCTTGGGCTCCTTCACACATTTTTGGGGTTGGCATCTAAAGTTTTGCATCAAAAATGTCAGCTGCAAACAATGTGAATCCTGACAAATATTAACATTCACAAACAAAACTGTTATGTCACATTTGTACATGAAACGAGTGGAACCTAAACACCTTAATGACTTGAGAGCCACCATCATCTGTCTTAAAAATTTACAAATGAGCTCTTGATGGCTGCGAGCTGTACATTCTTCCTTTTCTCCCTAGGTTATTCATTCTATTCTATTCTAACAATTTCACCCAAATATATTTTTGCACTCAAAATTATTGTTAATCCTATCATCTTTCCCTGCAGCAAAATATGTATATATATTTTGCTATTTAAATGCTTTTTAGGGCGCCTGGGTGGCTCAGTCGTTAAGTGTCTGCCTTCGGCTCAGGTCATGATCCCAGGGTCCTGGGATCGAGCCCCACAGCCCGCTCCTCCCTCTCCCACTCCCCCTGCTTGTGCTCCCTCTCTCGCTATGTCTCTCTCTGTCAAATAAATAAAGTCTTCAAAAAAAAAAAATGCTTTTTAAATGTTCCTGTGAGCCTAAAGCTCTAAGTGTTGTGTAAAAATTTACTCTTGCTTGAGTTATTATGACAATTAGTATTAGAATGCCATGGATCAAAAAATTGTAAGTATATTACAAATTCTGCTAGGTAATTATTAAAAGTAAAAATTAAAATGTATTAGAGATAGGAGTCTTTTTTTTTGTTAGTGGGTGTCTTCATGGATAAATATTGCTTATTGCTGGGGCACCTGGGTGGCTCGGTTGGTTGGGCGACTGCCTTCGGCTCAGGTCATGATCCTGGAGTCCCGGGATCGAGTCCCTGCTCAGCGGGGGGTCTGCTTCCCCCCTCTGCCCTCTTCCCTCTCGTGCTCTCTGTCTCTCATTCTCTCTCTCAAATAAATAAATAAAATCTTTAAAAATATATATTGCTTATTGCTAGAATGAGACAGAATTCAGCATCAGTTCTCTTTTCTACTTTGTGTTTGGTTAAACATTAGCACACAGGAACCTCTGTTATATAAATAACTAAATGGGAATGCACATTTGTTTTAGCAATGTTACTCAAGTCTCTGAATTCCTTTGGAGATCTATGGGGGGGATTACACAATGATTTGTCTTCAAAAGTATTTTTCCCGATTTATCAGCTGACAGCTCCATGGGGTTTTCCTTCAGTTTTATGGGAAGCCATCTGAACTGCAAAAGGATTTGATCCCCGTTCATTTGTTAGAGCAATTTTTTTTCTTCACTGTTGACAACAGTGTTCGGCACCGTCTCTCTGGTGCCCTGTAGATTTTATACCTTGGGGCAGTGCACCCAGGTAAGAATCAGGATAGGTGAAAGGTAGGCTTTGTTTTGTAAAATGCAGAAAGGACCATTGATTCTGCCACCACACGTGTGTTCTCTGGCACATTGATTTTAGGAAATATGAAACATGAAATTTGAGGATAATAGATCCTCTTAAAACTCTGCTTGTTTACCCCATGGAGAGTACCTGTATGCCCAGGGTAATGCACACTCCACTTTTAAGATTGCTGGTTTATATTTATTATGATAAAACTAATATATACAATATTTGTGGGGGTTTTATTTTTTATTATTTTTATTTTTTTAAGTTTTTTTTCTTTTAAGATTTTATTTATTTACTTGGCGGGGGTAGGGGGAAGCACGAGCAGGGGGAGAGCGGCAGGCAGAGGGAGAAGCAGGCTCCCAGCTGAGCAGGGCGCCGGATGCGGGGCTCCATCCCAGGACTCTGGGATCGAGACCTGAGCCGAAGGCAGACGCTTAACCGAATGAGCCACCCAGGCGCCCTGTGGGGTTTTTTTTGAAAGACTTTA